TATACACTTTTCCGAGACTGTTGGCTTGGAATGCTATAGAAAACTTTTGTGAGATACAAAAATTTCCTGTTAACACAAACGTTTCTGCAAAAAATCAGATGCGACGGACTTTTAACGGAAGAGCTATGCTGTGTTTAACCATCAAACAAATAGCGATTAGAGGCAATGATATTAGTTCCAAAAGTCTCTTGCACTCTCTTAGGAAACGACTCTAGATTTCTTTTCTAGAAATAATTTAACACAGAGGATTCATTTATCATGAGGGTGCCGTTTGATTCAAAATGGCCGACTTCATGAGACAGCACCGGTTGATTAGACCAGTAGGCTTCCCAATGAAACTTATTGTAGGTGGGGGGCTCATACAGCGCGCGAGATGTGCCAAGTTTTCATTACTCCAATGGAACGAGACGCATGGCTAGGGGCTCGAATTATTTCCTGGCATTACCTGCTCACTGTCGAACGCAAACTATTAGCAGACACTCGCAAACTTTTGAAAAATCAGAGTGACGGACTTTAAAGAAGAACGCTTTGCTATTGTACACCACTCACAGCAGGTAGCTGAGATTGTAAAGAACGTATTTATGAAAGTTTTAGCCGTCATTCTTGGATAAAAGGCTGATTTTATACAATTTTTTGGCGAAAAAATGGTCAGTGCTTTCACAATAGAGTAAGATTGTAATATTCAAAATGCTCGACTCCGGTGAGAGGGTTTACAGACACGCTTTCAAGAGGCTTTTAGTTTCGCGGGCCCTGATGAATGCAAATTGTTCCGCACGTTTCACATATTCATAGGACTAAAAAAAAAAAAAAAAACCAGCTTGGGGCTGCTGGTTCTGAAGTTTGTAATTTCTCTAGGGTGTGCGCTGTAGTGAAAATTACGCCCCGCCCACCAAATATTGGCTCAGCCTGGCGATTCCTGTTTGGAGTTGTGACTAGGATCATCTCTCTCTGTATTTTGGTGCAGATCTGAATTAATACAATGATGAAGATGAGAGCAGCCAATCGTATTGATTCATGCGAAACGCCTCACTCCTTGCCATGGGCGCCAACGGCAACACCACGAGAGTACCTCCCGAACACTCTGTGCTATTAACAAACAAGTTAGACCAACATGTTTTTCTACTATCACTCGACAAACGTTTCAAGGTAGCTTGGTAGTTTACACAATGACTGCGATGAAAGTGGACTCCTCCCAATTAAAAAAACAGCCGCTTTCTTCACTATAGTGGAGGCGGGGCCTGAAGCATGATGATCATTCACATTTGACGGCCGTATCAGTATGGGTCAAGCTCCAACAGGGGCTTCCTAGTGACCAATCTTGGTTTGATTTGGACTTTTTGTAGAAGTAATTCCACTTTGAAATTCTCCAAAAGTACACTCATAGCGCTTCTTGCGCCTTCCCCATGGGACCCTTAAACATGCTTACAAAACGAAAACCTTGATATCGCTTTTAATCTCCAATGATCCTTACAACTGCCTTCAAATGACACGAAGATTTTGAGAAGCCAGAGTAGCTCATAATCGCCTAGGAGCAGTTCGTTACAAGTCGACATGAGCGAAAATGAAAAATCCTGGAGCCAAAAATCCGCACTTGAGCCAAAATGGCCGACTTCCTGTGGATTTAGGGCATACCTCCCAGAGACATTTTCTTCATGATTTTGAGGAATCTACCGGTGCCAAGTTCAGAAGCTCTGTACTTACATTTATCCACCCAACACACGTTAGGGGGCGCGTGGCGTAAATTTGCGGAGGCGGCCATTTTGGATTCCATTACAGACGCGTCGGGACACTGCGCTTTCACCGGGGAACAATGATAGCTGCCACGTTTCCTGATTTTTGAACATATGCGAAGATCCCCGTAAAAATGCGTTCAGAGAGTGCTAAAACAGAATAATAATACTTATAATAAGAAACATTAGCTACCAGATACAATAGGCTCTTGCAGCCTTCGAGCTGCTCGCCAATAATAAGAAATAGTGCGCAGATAACAATAGGCTCATTGCAGCCGTCGCTGCTCTCGGTGCCTAATAAACAAACATACACAGGAACAAATAGGCTCCGTCCAGCAGCGGTGAGCTGTGGCGTCGATGCCTAATAATAATAATACAAACGAGACTCAGAACAAGAGCTCATCGCAGCGGTGAGCCTCGCTCGGCTAATAAACGTATACAGAAACAATAGGCTCTCGCATCGCGTGAGCGTGCTCGGGCATAAAAACAACTACAGACATCCAATAGGCTCTCGCAGCAGCGACTGAGCATCCGCTGCTCGTCGTCCCTAAACTAATAATTATACATTAATAAGAAAGCTTTCGAAAATACAATATGGCTCCTTACAGCCATTCGCTGCACGGGACGCATCGGCCTAATAAATTGTTTTGTGCCTTACAAGATATAAAGAGGTCAAAATAGCTTGAATGTTAAAGCACTCATCAGCGTGAAATATATATAAAAAGAAAAGAGAACGTCAGCTTTGTCTCTTTTTCACCCTTAGTTAATACATGATAATTACTTACGAATTAGTTTCAAAGTGTTTTACTGATTAAATGATTAATTTATGACCTGTCTATGAAGTATTTGTCAGCCATCTATAAGAGGAGCTTTGAAGTAGAGTGGTACCATCCACTAGCAAACCTTTTTTCTTGTTGTTTTTTATGCTTTTTTCCCCTCAATCTAGATGCCAATAGCTGTAACAGAAGGTGACTCTCTTTAGGATGATACTGAAAGACATGCAAATATCTTGCTATGAGGCGTTATTCACTCTTAAGTGATTGTTAGCTCATTCCTAAGCTCATTTTTTTAAACCAATAGAACACAACTCACTTTAATCTGACAAGAGAGCTGCAGCTAATTCAGTCACTAGATACATTGGTAACTTCTGCAGGAGAGCTGAAATGTGAGCACAGGCGATTCCACATGTAGGATCTGCCAATCGACACAAAGGGGACGTGAGCACAGAGAGATGTAGAGATGGAGCTGATGCAGATCGAAAGCAACAAGGATATAATCCCTCTTCCACACAGGTAACGAGGTCGCTCAGTAGTAAACAATATCCTCACTATCCACATGTAGATCCTGTCGCTTTTCATTCTCTATCGACGCTGCATTTTTTAAATGAGAAACAGAAACCCATTAACCTCAGCGCATCTGATTCTGATCTAGGAGCTCCAACGCCAGCAGGATGAGCTCCACATGCACAGAATATACTTATCTGAGATAACATATCTGACACTCCAGCCAATCAGAGCCCAGCGTTTATCATAATTTTTCCCCTACTCTGCCACAGGGGAGTCTCCCACATCGAGAGGCAACACTTCAACCCCGCTAGATTAGTATCTTTTTGCTGGCGGACAGCTTATTACATCACACTTCACATTTAGAAAGAGGTCAGATCAAAAAAGATCAGAAAACAGCAAATGGAGGAAAACTGTGGAAGTGTCAGACCTAAAAATATATGGACAGCATATGACCACTGTCTGAAAGCTCTGCCTTTAGAAACCAAACTCTCAGTCAGGACATCACGTCATCATCCTTCCAGGAGTACTTCTCCTCCATTATGCTATGTTTTTAGCTAGTAAGTCTGGAAAAGTAACCAAAGCGAGGCTCATATTCCTAGACCAAATAAATAAAACATGAATTCAGAAAAGCATTTCAGTCTCAAAACTATTTTTTATTTTTAATTTTTTTTAAATACAAAAATAAGCTTTTTAAAACAGCAATGGCTTTTTAACACTGTTTTACATCTAAAATGACATCTTTTATCTGCAGTTGGGCACATCAGTAATTATAAGTTTAAACTTTACATCAGAGACCACAAAATTAAATGTGGTGTTCCTCATGGGTTCTTCTTAGTGCCCATTTCATTCAGTATCAACATGTTCTCCCTAACTCCATTCTTAATAAACAACATGTTACCAACAATGCAGACGACACAGTGCTGTGTCCTTTCAAATGCTGGCCGAATACTTAGAAGAAATCAGTGCATTAACGTGTCAACATTTTCTTTTGCTGAATCAAAAAAATAAGTTCCTCTTTGGACCAAAAGAAGAGTGTTCAAAAGTTGGCAGAGAGCTCCAGTTATTACAGCTAGAAACTGGCAATAAGGCTCAAGTTTGGTTGTATTGATGGACTGAGACATGAACCTTCAGAGGCTCATAAAGATGGTAACTAAGTGGGCTGTCTATCACCTAAAGTACATTTCTAATATTAAAGAAGAAATAACACAGCAGGACCTTGAACAACTAACTTGAGTTCATCTTTAGCTGAATTGATTACTGCAAAGATGTCTTCACAGGTCTAAAAAGTCCATTGAACAGCTGGAGATGATCCAGAATGCTGCTGCTAGAGTCCTCACTAAAATTAAGAAAACATTTTATTAAGTCATAAATCAAAGAATGGCTTAGCACTTAAATATAGTTCAGTGTTCTAAGTACCACTCAGACCTCTCATGTCTTCTGCCTCTAATCTACTATACAGTACGTAACCAGAACAAGACCCAAACATATAGAAGTAGCTTTTAACTCTAATGCCTCTCTTATCAGAAACAAACTACCAGAAAACTGTAGAACCGCTGAAAATCGGGATTTAAAATGCATTTTGTTAACAGTGGCCTTTTATTATGCTCTTTTTTGTTCCAACTTTTCTTTCATTTCATAATCATTAATTTCTATCATTTATTATATGTTCATTTTATTTTAATTATTCATTTGTATTCACTTGTGTTCACTTGTATTCATTTGTGTTTTTCTCATGTACAGCAATTTGAATTGTCTTGCTATTTAAATTTTGTATGCAAATAAACATGCCTTGCCCTTCCAAGTGTCCCACCTTGTATGTAACATTAGGTTTGACAACGGTTCAGTTGCTTGATAGACAATAAAACTGCAATGGTCCTAAAACCTCAATGAATTACAAAAAAACACACAAAATCTGGCTCCTTAGAAAGAAAACTGTAAAGACATGAGGGATAACACAATAGTTTTGGATCATTCTGTTTTAATTCCTTTCATTCTGGTTTATGTTTACATGTCACAGCCTCCACGTCCGACCAGGAGGCTCAGCAGCAGAAATCTCCTACATGGGGAGAGAAGACCAACAGCAGAGATCAGATGGAAATATCAAACAATCAAACTGAAAACAGTAAGAAATGTTTCTTTGAATCTAACAACAATATTAAAACATCTATAAACCATGAACTAACATGATAAAACAAGATATAGTAATGCAAAAAAAAAAAAAAAAATAGCTCTTTCCTTATGATAAAAATGTTAGGTGCTTAAAAACTGGTCAAGTTATTATGACAAACACAATAACAGAAATGGTGGTAATTTCTTAAATATAACTGGACAACTACAGACCAGGACAAAACTTCTGGCATCCCTCGTTTTATGAAAGAAAACCCACAATGGTGACAGAAATAACTTGAATCTTACTAGTAATAATATCTATAAAAATGAAATTGAGATATTGCTTTTCAGACAGTCTTCAAAAAATGAGTTAAATAAATAAACAATTGAAACTGAGCTAGATCAAAAAGGTGTAGCTCCTAGAAAAGACTGAAAATAATGTGACCAAAGGGATATGTTAAATCCAGGTGTGTCCACAAGTTAGCAACACAATGTCTAAAATCTGGTAATCAGTCAGTGGTGCTATCCTATATATAGGATTATAGATAGTCACTGTGCTGTTGGGTTGCATGGTGTGTACCACACTCAACATGGACCAGAGGAAGCAAAGGAAAGAGTTGTCCCAGGAAATTAGAAAGGAAAATTATGGACAAGCATGTTAAAGATAAAGGCTATAAGACAATTTTACTCAGCTTGATGTTCCTGTTACTACACATATTTCTAAGAGATAGGGATCCATGGGAATGTTGTCAACTACCTGGCCATGGCTGCAGGAGGAAAATTTATGACAAATCAGAGAGACGGATAATATGAAGGGTAACAAAAGAGTCAGAGAAATGTTAAACGAGGTTAAAGGTGAACTTGAAGCTGAAGGAACATCACTGTCAGATCACACCATCCGTTGTTTGAACCAAAGTGGACTTAATGGGAGATGACCAAGGACGACATCATTGTTGAAAACAAATCTAGACTGGAATTAAAAACTACATATTGTCAATCTGCAAATCTTTGAAGAGAATGTCCTATATACAGATGAGACAAAAATTAACATTTCTGCAAAAGAATATCAGCTCTATGTTCACAGATGGAAAAAATTAAGCATATCAAGCAAAGATTACTGTCCTAACTGTGAAACACAGAGGAGGCTCTGTTATGTTCTGGAACTGCCTGCAGAGGGTGTTTTGAATCTCTGCAGTGTACAATGAAATCTCAAGACTATGAGGGGATTTTAGAGATAAATGTGCTGCTCAGTGTCAGAAGCTTGATCTCAGTTGCAGCTCACAGGTCTTGCAAAAAAAAAAAAGGATAATGACCAGAAACAGACAATTAAAAACACACAAGAATGGCTAAGAGGAAAACACTGGATTATTCAGAAGTGACCTTCTATGAGCCCAGATCTAACCCCTACTGAATATCTTTGGAAGGAGCTGAAACATGCTGTCTGGAAATGCATCCTTCTAACCTAAATCAACTGGGGCAGTTGGAAAAGATACAATAAACTTATTTAAGGTGCTGAAATATTAATAAAAAAATGAACAATAATGATCACAGTAGTAACTGTAAAAAAAAACAATATTATAAACTGGATTTGTAGGATAATAAATCATTAGCTAAAACCCAAACTGAACAGTCAGGTTTTTTGTTACATTTACATATGAAAATATGGAAAAACTTGGTCAAATATCTGTGTCCTGTATTCCAAAGTTTTTGCTGTTGTTCTCTATTCTTGGACTTTGGTCTGTCTTTTTGGAAAGCTTCAATTGTTTTATAGTTAAAAATGTCTGGTGTGTTTATCTGTGCAGACAAGCGACAAAGAGCTGCCCTGGAGCTGTTGGAGTCCGAGAGAGTCTATGTATCCCATCTGTCGCTGTTACTGAAGGCTAACATCTCCTTCAACGGATCAGAAGCTCTCACTACCAAAGACAAACGGTAGGATTTTCACTTATCTAAATTATTTTTTTCTTGTAATCTTTTCATCAAGTATTAAAAAAAAAACCTTTAATATATTTAGGTAAAGACTGTCTGCAGCCTTTCAAAAATCATTCCCAAATGGTGCTCTGAACTAATTTGATGGCTTACGTTGAGGGAACAACAGGAAATAGCTAAATCGAATAAAAGAAGGTCATAAACACTACCAAGACAGAGCTTCTTAATGTAATCACTGCTTGACTGCAGCACACGTGTTACCAATGAGCATGAAATGCAGCCTAAGCTGCAATGGGCCGAATTGTGGACAAGAATGTCTTCTCTCTGTTTAACCTGCTAAACCTGTTGCTATTTCCCACCTGAGCGGCCGAAAAAATAAGCCCACTTTGGTTTATAAGAAGATTCTGAGAGTCAATAAAAGCAAATGTCTCCGTTTTGCTGGATTTAATTACTTAGTCCTTGTTAATTTGTAAATAGTCATATAAAGTCATGCAAAGTCAAACAAATCTGCTAATATCATCCACTTCTCTGTTTGCAGTCCTTTTCCCAGCTCCTTAAGGTTTTTGATCCAGCAGCACTTGGAGCTCCTTCACACTCTGCAGGAGCGGGTGCTCAGGTGTCAATGGCAAGGCATCATGGGAGATGTTTTTATGAGGCTCACCAGCAAAGAAGTAAGCATGAATTAAGACGCAATGGGATGTTTAAAACATGACTTGATTTAACTTTTGCTGTGTTTTTTGATTTTGGTTTTTTGAACAAAACAATAACTTGTATCGAATGATAAAGTGAACGCACTTCAGATACCATAAAAAAGTCTTACTGTGCCATGAAATTTAAACATGTTGTCATGCTTTGACAACAAATCATTATTTAACTGAATTAATGATTTGTATATGTAAGGTATTCTGCAGGTCTTTTGGGATATGTCTACATATTATTTGCAATTCAGTAGACAGAGAGGTGCTCAGTCTTCTCTGGCCAGGTAGCTAAAGAGTAGTTAGATTTAATTGGATGAAGAAAATCTGTTAAAATTATTTTTAGATTTGAATTCTCATACTCATACTCATCGTCTTCCACTTAATCCGGGAACGGGTTGCGGGTTGCAGACACTCCCCTCTCCTAAGATACCTCCTCCAGCTCTGCTGGGGTAAGTTCAAGGAAATCCTAGGTGAGTCAAGAGACATAGTCCCCCCTGGGTCGTCCCCTGGGCCTCCTCTCAATGGGACTTGCCTGGAACACCTACCGAAAGAGACGTCCAGGGAGCATCTGAAAAAAATGTCTGAGCCACCTAGCTGAATCCTCTAGATGTGGAGGAGAAGCTGCTCTGCATGAGCCTCTCCCAGATGACATGGCTCCTCACCCTTTCTCTATGAGACTGCCTTGCTACCCTGCTGGGACAGCTAATTTCAGCCGCTTGTATCCGGGTATTCTTGTATTCTTTCTGTCATTACCCAGATTTTATGACCATAACTGAGGGTAGGAACATAGACTGACCTCTAAATCGAGAGCTTTGCCATTTCATTCATATCTCTATTCACCCCAACAGACCAGTGCAGCATCTGTATTGTAGCAGCAGCTGCACCGATCCATCTATCAATCTCCTGTGCCATTCTTCCCTCACTCATGAACAGGACTCCAAGAAACTTGAATTACTCCACTTGAGGCAGGAACTCTCCTCCAACCTGAAGGGGACAAACCACCAATTTATGGTGGAGAACCATGGCCTTGCAATTGAAAGTGCTGAATCTCATCTCATCGCTTCACACTCGGCTAATATAGGACTTGGCAGGAGGGAGCCAGCAGAACAGCGTCAACCTGAAATAACAGGAACAAAATCCGCTGGTCCCAAAACCAGACCCCTCCAGACCTTGGTTGCACCTACAAATCCTGTCCATAAAGGTTATGAACCGGTCCAACATGCACCAGTAACAGGTCTGAATTAATGCCGGACAAAACTCCAGCTCCATTTGTGCACAGACTAAATGGCTCCTGGTAGAGGTCCCTTGACTCCATATTGAAGCACAGGGTACAACAAGGGACCCGGTTGTATGTCTTTCCCAATTCAACAAAACCTATTTGACCAGTTGGGCAAACACGTGTGATCCCTCAAGTACCCTGCAGAGAGTGTAAAGTGTCTCCAACAGGAAAGGGCTGAGCTGGATGGAAACAAGCAGACCGCCACCCCCCCTACCTCTTCCCATGGGCCAATCCATAGTAGAAGAGATTCCAGCTGGGGTCATCCGGGCACTGAAATCCCTCCGACTTGTTAATTCAGGGATTCAACGAGGGGGCTAAATTCCTAATCGAATTTATATAAGGACATTAATTATTCCAATAGTATGCAACAATATGTTTTAATCTAAGCAGACAACTGATAATACACCTCTCAAATAAAATGTGCATCTCAGCAGCTCCTTCTCCTGACTGTTTCTCTGATTAATGTCCATCAATGTTATGTTTACACTCCTCTGTGAGATAGATACAGTTAGTGATATAGTTAGTGTGGGAGTGATGGCCTAGTGGTTAGAGAAGTGCGCTTGTTCTCTGAGAAGGTTGCAAAGACTCGGTTTGATCCCCACAGCCTGCACTCTTGGGTCCTGAGCAAGACCCTTAATCCCACATTGCTCCCTGGGCACCACACAATGGCTGCCCACTGCTCCCCAAGAAGATGGGATAAATTTCCCCATTGTGGGACAATAAAGGGATTTTCATATATTTACACTGTGGTGGTCTCCTGTAATTGCAGAGATAAAGAAGGTTAAAAGGTTTTTATCAGACTGGTGGTTTGTGTTATTCTATAGTATGAAAATATCATGAATATGAAGGGCAACAGGCATGTTTAAACATTAATCAATCAAAGGGGGCGTGGATGGGGGAGGGGTGGAGTTGAGCATCAGTTAATTTAATCAAGGTTATGTCTCCCATCAGAGTGATTTTCTGGACTTCTACGTGTCCTATCTGAAGGAGCTTCCAGACTGTCTGTCTGTTGTCACCATGCTGGCCTCCAGCTCCATGAAGTCCTGTGCTTTTGTGGAGGTAAGACTGAATAGAAGATCTGACAACAAATGATAATAAAGTGACTATGAATTAACACTTTCTAAAGTTGTTACATATTTACAAATTTATATTTTTCTTCTCTTCCTGGTTTGCTGTTTCATGTCCCCATCAGTGTGACATAGTGGGTGATGATTCCAGACCTTCCCTTTACACTCTGCTCCTTCAACCTGTCCAGAGGATCCCTGAATACCTGCTGCTGCTACAGGTGGGACCCATAGCCTTGTTTAAAAGTAGGAAGTTAAAGGTGCTGATGGTAACTTTATGAGAAAAAAAAGATGTTTAAAGGCATGCAGGTGGAGCAGTGGATAGTGAGCACGACCCATGTACGGAGGCTTTAGTCCTCAACATGGCCGACCCGGGTTCGAATCCGATCTGTTGTCCTGTGCCGCATGTCTCCTCCCCTCTCTCATACCTCCTTTCCTGTCAGCCTACTGTCAGAAAAACGAGCCACTAGTGCCATAAGAACTAAAAAAAAAAAAAACTTAAAAACATATTTGCTAAACTAACACTATGTCCCTACTAGGGTTGTGTGGAGTTTGGAAGCTGAGTCAGAGGCGATTTTTTACAAAAATACAGATTTATTTTACATCCTTAAACGGAGAGATAGAGCTCTGACTGGGGCAAGCTCAGTAAATACATTTATACAACAACTCCCAATACACACACTCTCCCTTGGAACTATCCCACCCCTAGATAAAGAACTTTCTAGCACATGAACATTTGGAGGAAAAACAACTTGAGTTCATCAAGGCCATTCCCTGCTAGGTTAATATATCTTTCACTAGCCGTATGGATCTTCTTCAGCATTCTTCCCCTTCATGCCATGAAGGAAGCTGTGTAATTCATTCTAATCTCTCATGACCTTTTTTTGGAGCCTGTGAGGCTTAGAACGGACATATGTCAACATTTTTTACTCCACAGTTGCAACTAACAATTATTTTGCAAATCGATGAATCTGTTATTATGTTATGATTATTTTTTTTGATTAATCGATTAGTAATCAGATAGCCAAAGTGTATTTAAATAACACTTTTTACTAAATTAAACCAGATGAAACTGAGAATGTTTGCACTTGGGGAGTTCTGGAAAGAGCACATTGGCAGACAAAATTTTTTTTAATCATAAATACAAAATGCTGATTTATTTATTTTTTAAATATTGGTATAATTACTGCTCTAAGTGGATTGCTCTGTCAGCTAAAGGCCTGTTTCAGAGTTTCTATACTCGAGTTAATGATTAATCCATTGCTGATTTAGTTTTTGATTATTTCAATAATAGATTAATGATGATTAATCTGATTAACTGTTTCAAACCTGGTCGCGAGAGTGACAGAGAGACAGATAATCTGTGAAAAAAGTCAGAAGTAATGCCTTTGTCAATTAGTTCACATGCAGTTCACATGTTAATTTAAGTGTTTTGATACTGTTTTTCACACAGATTTTTCTTATCTTTAAATGTTTTTCTTTCCTTTTTTATCTTGAATATTTTAAATCTGATCTGGGTATGCTATTTTTAAATTATTATTTTTCTATATACATATTCTCATGTGAATCCAGTGGAAGAGGCAAACAATTTCAATAGGGAGGGCCAGGCAGGATCCAATGTACGCAGAGGGCTGGCCTAAAAAGGATGGGCTCCAGAACTAGTCAAGGGTCAATCTACTGTACCATCAGGAAAATAAACCAACACACCAATTTTATTTTCCAAATGTTTTTCAATTATGATATATATACTGCCTTCCCCTCTATGGTTGGTAAATATGTTATTTAATCAAATATTATTTAGACTGTCATATATTGTGCTGTGTGTTAGAACAACATTGAAAGTGTGAATCAGGCTCAAATCAAGGTCAAACAGTTAACTTTGCACACATATGGAATAAATTACCCACAACTTCCATTCAATATATGAGTTTAATTAACAAAAAACACTTAGCTCAAAGTCAAACTTATTTCCGTTAAAAAACTCTTGACTAAACTAGTGAAACTCAACTAAACTGAGCTACTACGTTCAAATAAGAAGGAAAAACATGGTTGAAAACCATAATCAATAACGTTATGCAATGATATTACAGTTTACAGTGGATTTTGTGTTTGAGAACCAAAGTTTATCTTGAAGAATTTGGAATGTGGTCAAATTAGCTTTTAACCAATGTAGAGCAATTGGAATGTGTTCAAATCAGTTCATAATACAAATCCAAGAGTTGAATAAATATTCTTAAAAAAATTATGATTTATTCGATGATTTGCTTAATTATAACTTGTAGTTAATTGATTCCTAACCTCCTTTGATTGAACTAGTATCTAGCAGGTATAATGACTTTACTTACAACACCTTTTGGTCATAATATGGTACGTAATTAAAATTTGTTGCGCATCAGAGAAAAAACATGAATGTCGATGTTATATTAGTGTTTAAACCCTTAGTTAAACAAAGCTTTTTCTAGATTAATAAGCAACAGCTCAAACATTTTGTAAGAATCTCCTAATCCACCAGTTAACACATGAAATGATCTAAAATTATCAACGAAAATGTGTTCAATTGGAAAATCTGTCCCTAAATATGGAAGACCTCTACCTCTACTGATGTCCATTGTGGAAAATGCTGAGTTGCATTGTCCAGTACCTAGTATAGCGGACCACATTAGGGAAGTTCTCTGTTCTCAGGAGCTCAACACCTCATGCACTTTGCATCTGAAAGCCCTGAAACTCAAAGAGAAATGTTGCAAACAGTCCATTTTGCAGCAATTTGGTTCTGATCTCAGCCATAAGATCACTTAGCCTTTGGTCAGTTTGCAGTTTCTTGTCCTTAGCATGAGGCATTCTATGCTAATCCTCTCCAAGTCAGGATTACTGTGAGTTTGGTGCTTTCTCCCCAAACCCAGTGGGGGAAGGATTCCATGTCCTGCGGGAGTCTCTTGCATGTATTAGTGATTTGGGTTTTTCTTTTGTATTTTTAGGGACTGCTTAGGCAGACAGATGCAGATCATCCAGACTACTACTTGCTGCTGGTGTGCGTCCAACAGTTCAGGTCCTTCACTGCTCAGTACCACCACCTTCTTCAGCACAACCAGGAGCTTCTACTGCTTAACCGCAAGGAGGTACAGAGGTGAGAATAAAAATCAGTTACGGGTAGAAATGGGGAATTGCCCAGGGTGCCACAGCGTAAAGGTGCCAAATGCTCTTGTCAGGAGTGGGGAGAGTAATCTGTCAGTTGCAATCAGGACAGTTTAAAAAAAAACGTATTCATAATAAACTCATGACTATAGACTAAAGCTGGAAAGTTAAGTTGATGTTGGTATCTGATTTAGGAAATGAATAAAATAGAAAACAGCAATGTAAAAAACGTAATAACCTTTTTAAATGTAATGTGCCTGCACCATTAGCAGTACACATACACCGTTTGATGCCAACAGACGATTCAGCATTTGTTAGTTGCATAATAACTCAGTTTTTGACGAGCAAAATAGAAAATTTGCAAATAGTATTATAATGTTACATACTTCTTCACCAGACATGTTTCTTTTAAAGGTGACAATGTTTTTGTGTGTGTTTATCCTTTGCAAATATGTGCACATAAGGAGACAGGTGGAAAAGAAGGTGGTCAGGACAGGGTTGTAGGTTGATTGAAGGTAGACAGAGAGGTTTCACACATCTTGTTTTGCTCTACAGACAATGCTCAACAGCCCAACATAATGGTGAAATTGTTCTTATCGTTCCTTTAAGGATTGCTGTTATTAATGCTATTTTGAATCTTAAAATCTAAAATAGACTCTTCACATCTGATTTGGATGTCTTACATAAAATTCTCAAAAATGTTTTTGAAACTCATGATTTTTTGATTACATTTTCAAGAGCTTATTTAGATAGAGACAGTCTTAAAAGTAAAGATTAAAATGTATCCCTTTAGTCATCCATCCATTGGAGGGGTGGGCACAGAAAGAATCACCTCTACTAAGAGCATATATTTAACATCTTCTCAACAGAAAGTTTAAACATGTCCAATTTGTTCTGCTCCATCAGCAGGTCCAACATGAAGCAACTATTAAAGACGGTGGATGGTGGGATTCAAACCAACAACATTGGGTCACCTTACCCTGGCAGTAATGCAATGTTGTGAGTGTTTTACCTCCATCTCTTTTGTTTTTAAACATAAATATAATTATCTGCATTTACCAAAATGCTGTCTGGTGGTAATGTTTGGCCGATGCTTGAAGGGAGTTTTAATAACCGTTCCTTCTCCCAAAGGGAACACACTAACATGGTGAAGCGCCGAAAGCAGTGTCTCCTGGAGCAGATTCAGTCCCACCGCTTCCAGGACTGGGATCACAGCCAAAACCCTCAGAGCCACAGTTATAATGCAGAGTGGCCATCCCAGACATCATTTTTCAGCCACAATCTGGACTCAAGGAATCCTAAACAATTGGGTAAGTGGTCAGAAAAGCTGCTGGATATTGTCCACTATGGATTTCATTTCCAACATTTTGATACTTTTTTCAGGTTATTTCTCTTATTGTGGGCTCTGTTAAAAAAAATGAATAGAAATTAGCTGATGTCAAGTTATACAGCTTTTGTATGTCTCTCATAGCTTTTTTCACCAGGTTTATAATGATTCTCCAATAAATGTAGTTGGAACAGTATCTCTCTTTTAAGCTCATTTAATTTGGTTTTAGGGGCAATTGGGACAGACCAGGAATTTTTAAGGGGTCAGGATAGACTCTGTTCTGAGGGGAGGAGTCTCTAATAGGTCTGAAAGATTGAGAGGATTAGAGCATTTGATAGTCAGTATTTAGATCAAGAAAAATAAGATAATCTAAGTAAGTACAGATAGCAGTTCTGAATTGATTTTAGTCATTAAGCAAAGATTCTATCCAAACCACATTGAAAAAGGGATTGCCTCGTTATGACTTCCAACAATCCTGTTTATACTCAACAACCCTTCAACGTTGCTGAAATAAAACAAACATGCGAAGAAGAGCTGAATACGGATCTAATTATTACCGATCAATGTAACCGATTAATTGCCAGTTAAAACAATTAGCTAATAGCGCCATTAATTTTAGAGGTTTATTATATTCTAACATGCAGTTAAGGATCAGTCGAAAAGTGGATCTTGTGATTATTCAGATTAAATTAACTTGATGAACTGAAATGAAAATGTGACATTGAGAGCCAAAACTGATAAAATCTTTAGAGAAAATATGTTTTTTAAAATCTGTATGTGTGAAGTTGACAGACTCATTGGATCGTCTGCTGTGTTTAGAAGGTTTAGAATGTGAATATCAAAATGTGGAGGGCATTAAGCTAGAGCCGGGCATACACTGTACGTTTTTTTTCAGTCATTGCATGCAGCTACTGCTCAAACTGTACAACTAAACCGCATGGTTTTGTCGTACAGTGTGAGTTCACAGCTCACGATTTATGTTCGGTCCGACGCTTTCATGCGATCTACCTGCTCACTCTGCACGACTAAAAACCACGTCGGACTCAGCTCCGCAGTGAGATGGAGCTGCTCTGACTCGTCTATCTGGAAGCCAAACAAATAGAAGGGGAGTATAAAGCTCACTAGGTGGAAACACACAGCCTTGGGAATTTGTGCAATTTTGTTCTGAAAGCCCTAAAAAAGAAAAAGCGACGACGTATTTGGAAAAAAGACATCGCTGAGCAAACGTGGCTACTACGGTCTGTCAATTTTACAGACAGAATTGCATCCCTGCCACGCTGCTGTGTTTACATCTATAAGGAAGAATAAAAAGAAGAATCCTTCTTTGCGCATGCACCCTGAGCGATTTGCCCATGACGTTTTATTTTTCTTTCGACCTCATCTTCCTGATCCGGAGATGGTCATGAGACGCTGATCGCCCCTCATAAACCCCTGTACACTAGACGATGCACTATCAGGCTGAAAGTTGGTATGACTGAAAGATTCTCGCACGACTGGAAAATCGCCCAGAAAATCGCACAGTGGCTTAATAGGATTGAAACAGTCATACTTAGCAATATACAAAATAAACTGGTAAGGCTTTTGCGTGTTAAGGCATTTTAAAGCATCTATGTTTATTAATGGGTGAGAAAACATAATATCCTTTGCTGATATATATTTCATCTACGAGTTACCCTGAGTTGACTTGCAAGGGAACTCCTGGCGAGTCAACCTAATGAACATCAAGTATTGGACTATCAGCTAGCTTCAAGTTGGTCACAGGTAATTGTGATGACTTTTGGTGAACACTGTGCTGTGCTGCGGCAATCAGACTGATCAGGCTACAGGCATTCTTAAAGTCAACCCATGTCTCATCTCTCATGTTCAGAACTGTTTGTTTGTTTTTTGTTCCTATGAGTTTTTCTTTCTGTTTCTAAAAATCAGCAGACCTGCTCTCCATTGTGCCTTTGCAAACCTAGTCAGCTGTTTAACATTTGGCCTGTAGGTCTTGGCAGCATCCCGGAGACTGAGAGATCAGAGAGGTCATGTCAGCACAATCTGCCCTCCAGACCGGCTGAATTTCGTCACGTTCAGCCCGGCTCAGCCTTGGCTGATGCCCTTGGGGAGTTCCTCCTTCCTCCAGACCCCCCGGGGATGGAGAGCCTCTACGACGAGGATAGGGTCTCACTTCATGATACGTCTCTGTTCGACCGCTGTTCATCTGCATCCTCGGACTCCTCCATTGACATCGCCTTCGTGAAGGTCCCTAAAGCCCCCCATGGATCACAGCATGCGGTGGCGATGAATGTGCCGACCAACAGAGATGTGTTTGGTAATGGAGGAAGCCAGGGTAATGGTTACAGCCAACTGTCCAACCGGGTATGTGTGTCACCAGATGAAGCTATAATGACACGCCGCAATCTCCATCGACCCCTACAGGCTAGCCAGCGCAAGAGTAAGGTGAGTGCATCCAAGTAGAATCCTGATGAAAGCACAAATCAGAAGCCAGCAAAATAAACCTAGCTTCTGTTTCCTCTCTGCTGCAAAGTCGCTGAATGGTCTGCAAATGGAGAACACTGTGAGTGGCGCCGATGTGGGGCCTCTTTCAGACCACCTTCAAAGAGTGGGACTGGGAAGCCACGCCAAGCTGGAGCGGCAGGGCAGTAAGGGCAGTAAATGTTCCACCCCATCCCACAAAGTCCACAGTCCCCTGGGAAACACGGACAAACAGAGTTCAGATCTTCATGGACTGCTCAGCATTGTGCGTATCACAAGAAACGCATGAGAACAAATTCCAAGGCATCTGTGACGGTTATTGATGGATGATATGGGTTTCTATCCGGGACAGCATGGCCTTGTGCATGCAATGAAAAGGAAAATAGAATTACACAGTACAGTATTCTCTTAGTAGCCAAGAGAAAACTTCAGTACAATATGATGGGATGCCTCATGAAATCCCAGAGCAGGGTCAGAGGATGCTGAGGCACAGAGTATACAGAGATCATAAACCTAAAGTATATTTTAATATAACTAACTTCAGCGTGTTTGACTCAGTGGCGCATCAGATGTTTGTAAAGTGAGCTTCTGTGGAGTGACAGCTGTGACAGCCAGTCACACAAGAAAACACGGTGGGCCAATCAGAGCTTCTGGGCGGTCTAAATTCAGGGAAGAAGGCTTCAGTTTGAGCTGCGGTTTCCCGCTTGGTCCTAGTGCTCGACAAATGTCTGTGTACTGCAGCGTAGCATTGTTTTTGGATTGTTTTTGGACAATAAAACATGCAGGGGACCAAAACGTACATTTGAAAAAGTGCATCGGATATGCCCCCCCGCCCCCTAAAATTACGTCCATGTTTCGGTGAAAGAACCTGCAAATACTTTGACGCACAGAGACATTTTGGACAATTTCATGTTTCTTATAAGTGTTTTTTTTGGGGGTTTTTTTTTTTTTGGAGCGCTGCCCGTTTTATCCTGGGCTAACAGTCAAAAATGCTTCAAACGTATTGTTAAAGCTTGATGAAAGCAAATACTATAGGTAATCAGCCATTTGGACCCTGAAGGAATCTCTCTTATTTACATATTTAGTCAGCAGTTATTGGCTCCCTCAAGTGGTCTTAGACATAGACAGATTTATTTAGGCATTTTGTATACACAAGTGTAAACAAAAAGAAATTTAGTTTAGAACAGCTCTTTAGACAATTTTTAAAGTGCAGACTATATTGTGAACATTGTGATATTAAGTCACTATATCTAGTTATGGAATGCGCATCATTCATGTTTGCTTGGAAGCAGTGATGTCAGACTGATCTGGATAGGATCTTAGCATCCAAATGGGATTGTTACCCTGGTGGAAGAGGATTTGATGCTGGAGCATTAGGTGCCTGTTGCCTGGGCTTCATCCCGTCAGTTGTTGTTGAGCTGCTACTACTGCCTCCAGCTCCTGAAGCACTCGCTTCTCCTGGCTTAAGGGAGGAAGAAGCCGATGATGACAATGCTGTGAGGGTGGTAGCCCCCTGGGTTAAAGAGGTTGACGTGGTTTAAGCAGTAGTGGTGCCATCGGCAGGTTTAGCAGTGACAGACGATGCTGGAGAAGGTGTGGAAGCCGGAGGGGGCCGGGAGGAGCCGGCTGGGGATGGTTCAGCATTTGGCAGGATAGTGGTGTGCATAATATTAGAAAATAATCCTGAACACTTTAACTCTTGAACAGTTTGTGGTTCGGTGTTTACATATAGAGGGCTTTTATTTTTGTAAGGGCTCTGGATTGCATTTTGCCATCTCTAGATATAAATCCTAAATATTCGACTGATCAGTGAAAATTTTATGCTGATTTAGAAACAGAAACACATTTTTAAGAGTTGAGGAAACGTTAGCTACAACTGTCCAAAAAAAAAAAAAAAAAATTTTTAAAGACTTTCTTTTTAATAAGGACTGTTTTGAACTGAGATAAGATTGGAAAGGAATCCTTTAAAACACATTTAATTATCAATAAGTCAACCAGTTTAGATTTTAATCTTTCAGTTAAAGCAGATAAAAACCCTCTTTTTGTTGCGTATGAAGCAACAAGAGCAGAGGTTCAACCCATTTGCCATTCATACAATAACTGCCACTGATGCTCTTATGTTGATCAGTATTTTTATTTGGAAACTAAGACACAGTAAATAGCTGGATGACTAATGCTTTATAACAAACAAAACACAATTAAATAGTTTTTATTTTCCTTCAACTTTAAACCTGAGCAGGAGTCGAACATCCAGTCATGGGGTGACGAGTCAAAGTGGAGGAGCGGGACAGAGGAGAACAATCACACCCCCTTCAGTGAGAGAAGTCGTAAGGACAAGGGAGGCTTCAGGAGCTCGTTCAAGAAACTCTTCAAGAAGAAGTAGGCATGGGTTTATACCACACTGCAAAAAATCTAAATCTAGATACGTTATTTTTATCTTAAAATAAGTGCATTTGTTCTTGGATTGAGGAGATAAAAGAGACATTTTGCCAATGGAACAAGACAATTTACACTTAAAATAAGAAAACACAATTGCATTGTCTTATTTCAAGTGCATTTTATCCAATTATCTTATTTTAAGTGTAAAATTACTCATTCCATTGGCAAACTATCTCGTTTACCTACTCAAATTAAGGGTGAATACACTTAATTTAAGACATTTTTACTTATTTCTATATCGTTTTTGCAGTGCGCCGCTACACTTCTGAGCTTTAAAAGATGTCAAGGCAAATGTTTGGTCATGATGATCAGCTGGTAGAACAGGTTTTATTGGGATTTACTTGATCACTTTATGTCCTTCAAACAGGAGTACTGATGACAAGAAGGAGAAGGGAGGAGAAAAGACACCAGAAAGTCAAACTGTGGAGCATGAAACACCAATGAAGACTCCCAAACTGGTTCATCTGGAGATGAATCGTGGGACAGCCGTATAATTTGTGTTTTGCTGGAATCCATCAGCAGCTTTCCAGAATAAATAAAGCCTTCAGACTGAGAGAAGTCCCTTGTTCAAATCATAGTGATGCTAAAGCACCACATAATATCTAGTTTTTTGTTTTTAGTCTTTGGCTTCAAAAAACATGGAGGAATTTAAAAGCCTTTCAAACCCAGAGTCTAGATTTTTGTCATTTTGCTCCACTAGACATATAGCACCACCTCAATAGAGACTTGTGCTGGTGAAGGACCATCTAACCATCCAGTTAACTAAACCAACCAGTTACTTCATAACATAATGTCTTTAATGGCCTCTACTAGGCGCCAAGGAACAGTTTAAAATGCTCTTTGGTTAAATTAGAAAAAAAAAAAAGCAACTTAAAGCATTGATGTATTTATTGAACTGCTATACTGGTTCCTGTCAGGTACTCCCTGATAACATCTACCGGTATATGACTTTTTTATGACACCTACAGCACAAAAGTTACCTTTTATCTGTTTAAAAATGCACTTCAAGGCAAACATTAGACCAATTGATCACAATTTGTAAAAGCAACTTTAAAGAGTTCTATTCAGTTAAAGTTGGGCTTGTACATAAAGCTGCATTTTAAATTTCTGTGTTTACTGACAGACATCTTGGACTGCAAACAAATGACCTTATAATATGTAGAATTTTCTGAAAATAATTGTAATTGTCCCTAATCTGAACAGGGAAATAAGATGATCTGTCAGTGAAATTAGATTTTGTTTACCTTAGAATAAGATTATTCCTTATTATGCACTTGAAATAAGTTAATAGTTGCTGTTTTTTTTTAGATATTTTAAATGCAGTGTTTGGCTGTCGGCGGTTCCATGCGACCTATAAGGTCCCCTTTTTCCAACCTGAGCACCTGAGAAAAATGTCTTGTTGATGTATTGTTTTTATTAGAAACAAATCCACATTAAATGGTAAATATAGTAGTACATATAATACTGATTTAGCAACGTTACAATGACTGGTTATGATTTTGTTTTCAAGCTTGTCTTAGCTTTGAGCTTTTATCACATTATTGTAAATATTTTTTTTCTTTGCTTTTTTCATTTTCCTCAGCCAACTAACAAATTTCTGTGAATTCCAGTCTATAAAAAACCCCCATCAAGCTGCTGTTCATCTCCTTTTTATTTACTATACCCACAGTTCCCGTATATACTCAGGAAACTTTAAACAGACATAATGGCTACATTTGTATAGGTTTCCACTGCTTATTTAAATATTATATACAATATGTATTAATTAAAATATTTCTTTCTGTACCAGACTTTACTTTAGAAAGAAATAAAAGTTTTCAGTGGCTATTTCTGTGGTGATCAGCTGGTCATTTATCATTGTGAGACTAAATGACCCTAAAATCTGTCAGCGCTTACATGCTTAAATTCAAATAAAAAGAAAAGTTAGGTTTGCATTTGCATTCAGGCACTTCGATACAATAAAACCATTTAGAAAAAAGGAACATATTTAAATAAAGGCAGAATGTAGGGAGCACAAACTCAGTGATCCCAGCCAACGCAGCCAGAACAGTAAGATCTGGTTAACTTGAATATAATTTAAACTATGCCCAGAACTACAACTAATTTAACTCTTTCTTTTGCAATAAAAAAAGTGTCTGAAGAGTTGGAGAGTTTAAAGAGGACTGCTATAGAAGGAGTTTGTGTTTCTAATGTCAATCTGTGGACTGAAGCTCTTTGAGCAAAAATATTGTCAAAAGAAAAGTTGTGTAAGAAGTGCAAGTTGGAGGAAGCAAAATGAAGGTCATGAGATTTTGGTTTTCTTATTAGTACAACTGGTTTATTTTCCTTTCCAAAAAAGTGGTTTCCACATGTGAAGACGTTTCGCTTCCCATCCTGGCAGGAAGCTTTTTTAATTCAAAATGTCAGAATTAGCATTGAGTTAGAAGCTTGATATAGTAGCCCAAAAAACTTGTTTTGACTTAGAAAACATGCAAATTGAACCAGAAGAACGGATTTAACCCCTTTAATTTTCTCAATGTTGTGTTCTGCTTTTATTTTCCTTGGTTGTAGAAGTCTGACATCAATTTTAAAATATATTACACAAGCATTGATGGCTTGAGTTAAAACAAGCCTTTGTTCAGTAAGCGGACATAACAATGTTTTTATGATCTAAATGTATATATAAATAAATCTGATAACTAAAACTTTGCTGCTGTATGTCTTTAGGTTTTTTTTTTAATCTTAAAACTATATAGATATTTATCTCTTTTTGTTTTTAATAGTTGAAGTCTAGTCAGAATAAGGTGGAAACTATGTGTGAGCATCAGATGTTAAACTTTGCTTCAGGTTTTCTATTAAAATTAAATGAGGATAATGAGAACACACTGATCTGATCCCTTCAACTGTAGTTTGGGCTCCATGTTTTGTCCCAATGACCTGCTAGAAGGGCAACCTCCACTCCAGTCTCAGGTCCTTTACAGCCTATCACAGGTTTTCCTCTAGGATTCTCCTTTAGCAAACTTCTTTCATGATCTTTGGCCAGCTTTCATGTTTCTACACCAACATCATGTTCTACAGTTGGTTTTGTGACAATACATTTTGCATGTTGGCCAAAAAGTTAAATTATGGAGACATCTAAACATATATTTCACACCTGGTTTTTGCATTTCTTGGTGTATGACAAACTGGACAGAATTTAACTGATTTAAAGACACCTAAAAAGGGGTAACCTTAATGGATTAATATGTTGATAAGTCACATAAAATGACAATTAAACACATGGAAGTTTGCAATTTTAAAGTAAAAAAAAAAAAAAATGAAGCATCTGAATAGTTTCTATAATTTAATTGCACCCAAGTGGTCTGCGAGTGCATTGCAAGGGGTACATGAAAATATTTTATTTCTTAATTGGAAGTAAAACTAAATTTAAAACTTTTTTTTTGTGAGGTCCTCATTGAAAAATTAAACAAGCTTTTATCAACCAAACAGTATGTTTTGCATTTTGTTCCCAATTCATCAAGATTAAATGTGATTATAAGGGAGCTCCTGTTTTATATATACAGGGTTAAAATATTAATTCATATTTATTGTAATTCTTTACTAATTTCCAGGCAACATACCTATGTTTCTTTTTTTTTTTTTTTTGAAATGGAAAAAATAAAATGCCTAAGAATTAAATGCTCCGGTAAAAAGATTAAATAAAAGTTACTTATGATTGAGTGGGGCACTCAATGTCCAAAGGGATACACAAGTAGTACACAAAATTTTGGGAAACATTGTGCTAAGCTAATGGCAGTGATAACATCTCTGTTTTTCCTGGGTATTTATTGTAATGATTTAGACCTAAAAAAAAAAAAAATGTGTCTTTGCAAACATAAACCAGCCTTATTTTAAAGGTCAAAACCCCCAAAATGCTGCATCTTCACAAACCACATGACATCCAAAGATTTGCTTCCTTCTTTTTAATGTGTTAACCTGTCATCTCATAAATCTGTTACACTTCTGAAACAAAATATAGGCAATTATACAGTATGTAAAACAAACGCATTTTTATTTTACACTATTTACACTTTATAACGTTTGCATTGCATGATGAAAACAAAAGGGATGTGACGACGACAGAGGAGACATCGCCTGCTGCGTTTCTGCTCCACGATTGGAAAGGAGGCGAGGATCAAACGGGAATAATTGAATGACTTAACACTGATCAGCTGAGAGCAGCAGACGGGCGACGCTTCTACACATCAAATCCCAAGGCTGTGATATTTATTTCACTCATCTTTCACCCAGAGAATTCACACATCCGATATCCAAAAAAACAACTTTTAAAAAAAGAGGCTAATTCTACATGATAATCAAGTGAAGGCGACAAGTTTTCACTATTTTTCTGCATCTATAGGGGTTCTCTATAAGAAGGCAGAACTTCCAGAACAGCATGACGTAATCAGGGAAAAAAAAAAAAAAGATTGCATAAAGGACAATTTCTTATATTTGTATGGTTAAGTCATGAAAAGCAGAGAGGAAGAACAAGCTACAAGACGTATTGAGATTAGTCAAGTTAAAACACTTGGGCCTCTACAAAATCCAACAAATTAGGTGCACCAAAATAAATTTAGAAAAAGAAAAACATTTTCAAAGGTGATCATTTTTGAGAACGTGCAGTTTAACAGCTTTAAAAAAGCCTTGTAGAGAGAAAAATCTAATGAGTTTCAGACATGTTGATTATTTTTTTAACACAAACCTGCTGAATGCTGTATTTAGAAGCTGGCTTTTATTTCTTGAAATCTAAAATAAATCACGAGGTAGACTATCTAAATATGGCCACAAGGTTAACCAACATGTTCGAGCAATATACTTAAAAATATATATTATATATACAGATATATCATTTGACATAAAATAAACTCCCTAGTGATTTTTATTATTTATTTTTATTGTATTGTTTAGGGTTTTTCTTAAAAAGTAAAACAAATATCTCAACATCGAACTGAGAATTAAATCTTAATAAAGTTAAAGAAATATAGGGTAAACCATTTCAATGAGTGTTTGCGGTTATTGGAACTTAATGATAATAGATATTTATTTAATAATCAGTTAAAATAAGCTTTCCAACATCTAATTAAAACGCAGGGAATAGTTTCTTTGAACGATGAATAAATCCTTCCTAAAATTAGCAGTCTAAGAGAAATGGACTGCATGTTGCAATGCTAGTGAAGTAAGGGCAAAAAACATTCCTATTTCATTTTTTTAAAAGGAGATTTAACTGAACCCTCTGACATTTTATCAGCTACATGGTGGAGCTGCTCTGCTGCCTCGGAAACACACCAGCAGGTGGCAGCAGAGCCCATTTAAGATGAGTTTCTAATGTCCACTGGACAGGGATGATAAAAGAAATGCAACTAAGTAAAGCATTTAACAAAAAGTCTGGGCAATTATTTCCTGATTTAGGGAGGGTTCTCAAAGAAATGTTGCGTTAAAGCCAAGCCCTCTTTGCTAAAAGGCATACAGATGTTTAAAATCGCCACAGCTGATGATGAGACCTTTTTAAATATCGCTTTAAAGTGCTGGAATTGGACAAAAATTGTATGTTTGATTCCAATATCTTCCTGTGAGAGCTTCTGAAACATAAAAACTTAACTGATTGATAAAGGAGAATGCATAATGAGAAAGGTAGAACTGATTTTAATGGGGATTTTTTTCCTAATAGGACAGAAATCATCTTTCGTGATTCAATCGGTCAGACTTTCCTAAGCTGTGCTGTTGAACGGTTTCAAACATTTAAAACCACCAATCATGATCTAAACGTTCACATTCAAAACCAAGCCACAAATCCTACCGCTGCTAATAAATATTATTAGTTAGATAATCTTTATATAATTAAATACAGCATAGACAGCAGATCAATCTCTTTATCAAGTGCTTATTGTGAAAAATGTTTTCATTTTGACAGAGGAAAGGTTTCTACATTTTATCAGGATGCGTTGGATTGGGGGTTTAGCAAACTAAAGCACTCCTTTAGATTTGCATCACAGCAAATGTTTTTTTTTTTAAACCAACAAACAAATGTTTATTTCTAAGTGAGGGAACCGTTAAAAGACCTTTTCCAGGCAGCTGACCGTCCGTGTGCAGCAGAGAGATTTTTTAAAGATTTTTTCTCAATAAAAAAGCAGAAAAATTAAGATAAACATTCATTTTTTGTGGTTTTGAAGTTGAAAGATATATATTTTTAACCCACATACATTAATTAGGATTATCTATGCCTAAAGGAGAATTCACATTGATTTTATGCGGTACATCCAGTTAATTTAAATGTATTAATTGGCGTCTCTAAACATAATTACTTTTTAACTGCGGCAGACTTCAGCCATGGATATTTTCTTTAGAAAGGTCAATGCGTCTGAATAGAACAGGATGGAAAAAGGATCAGTAAGTTGTTTGATTGGCAAAAAAGGAGGACGCTATTTTTTGAGGCTTCCGTCGCAAGAAACCAGTGACATTTTTCTACCTAAATCCCATTCTGAATCTGTTATGTTGCGCTTTTATTGCTGCTCTTCCAAAGTTACCTCAGCCAGATAAAGACAGCCGGTGAGCTCTTAGGCGCGTCCTGCCGTCTCCAAGCACACGTCTCACACACACATGGTTACATACCAATACGACGTCACATTTGTTTATGAAAGACGTTTTTCTTGTGCAAATTTTAGATACCAGTGGTTCAACAGAAATAAAAAAAAAACATCAAAAAAGACAAACAATTTAGAATAAAACAGCGTTTAAAAGAAAAGCTGAAGGGAGTGGTGCTGAAACGTATAAGAACAGGACTCTGGGTGACGGGGCAGGAAATGGCGATGCATGCTGCAGGAGAACGAGCTAAAACTGTTGCATCCCATTTTCATTTGTCAGGATCCGATAGAGCAAACCTTTTTTTTTAAGGGGAAAGTCTGATCACTAAAGTCGCACCAAGGAGACCCGAACGTCATGACCTCTTTGAGTCTCCAGTTCCACAGAGCAGCTATTCACACATCTATACACACAACCAGACCTTCTTCTTTTACTAGTGTTCATCTTTGTCAACGATAAAAAAAAATAAAAAAAAATGTATTTACAAAAATTAAATAAAGGTTTAATAAGCACTTGTGTGGTGTAGTGTTGGGGAACTGGGATTAAATCTAAGCCAAAGTGGCACATCTTCCGTTGTTTCTCATAAAAAAAAAAAAAAACATTTTACGGCAAAAAAAGAAAGCCAATCCTGGTTAATTACGTTACGTCATGCCACAATAAATAAAGGGACAGTTAAAAAAAAAAAAAGGCGGGGAGACAGAAAACTAGGTCAAAGGACAGATGGGAAGGGGGTTTTTCTGGGGCACGGAGGCCCTTCTATGAAGCTTCAGCACAAACAGCAGTAGTATAACAACTAGCATAGCGTTGGTGTGTATCTGGATGCTTTTATACGCCAGGAGTCATCTGTAGGGAAGGTTGGATGGAGAACTCTCACTGCTTTCAGACCAGTTCTTTAGACTCATTGCATGGGCACACAGTAGACCCACCCCCCCTTTCCCATACAACACACTGGTGCATTTTAAAAGGCTGCAAAACCCACATCTGCTTTGACAACGCGGTCTCATCATCAGGAGGCCGAGGTGGGGTTAGGGTTTAGCTGCGGTGCTGGGATGAATGCGACTACCACTTGGTTTTGATGCTCCCTTGTCTGTGTTAGTGTTCAGGTGGGACTCAGTAGCTGTTTTCGTGGCCCGCCAGGATGTAGAGGTTGCTTTGAGCTGTGGGGTTGTCCGTCGGCCGGCTCTCCAACACGACCACCCTGAAAAGAATGGCAGCTTAGTGAAAATCGAAAAGAAAAGCTCAGCAGTGGGATTCCCCACATGTATGCAAGATAATAGTAAAACAAATAAGGAAGGAAGATAAAAGACCCAGGGTTTAAAGCAGCAAAATTCATGGTAAGTAGGAAACCCATGGTTTAAGCAGGTTATTTGGAAAGAAAAATACTAGTGGTGTAGAGATTATGCCATATTATCCTGTTAACCCTGACGAAAACCTCACACAGAGCGAAAGACTGGAACTGTCACAATGATCCCTCAGTCTGACTCAGAGGATCAGACACCAGAATGGGCCACAACATTTAGAAGAACTTGTTAGGAACCCAGAAAAGAAAACAGGGGGAGAGTAAAAAAGCTGCCTTTGGACGTTGAGCAGCGTTTGTACCTGCGCAGAGCGAGGTCTCTGTCCTCAGACTCTGGGTCTCTACAATCAGCACGTCTTCGCCGATAAGAAAGGATGTTAACAGAGGGTGTGAGTGTGTGGATGTGAAGTCAGAAGCTGTTTTTACACTGAAATTATTATGGTTGAACAACAATTTGTTTCCAGTTCTTTAAACAATCAGCAGATGAAGCTCAAACCCGTTTAAGGACGACGGTTTAGTCTTTGGAGCCGTGTTTTCATCCCCTTACCTTTTGTTGTGATACATACAGATACTTTGATAGATAAAACTGACTTAAAAGCTGCACCCTACAAAATATTTTTACTTTTTGACACGTTATCCTCTCCCTGTTCCGGCTGAAGAAAAAAACCTAACCCGCAGTATGATACTGCCACCACCGTATCCCTGTAAGGTTGGGGACGTTTTGCCTGTAAGTCTCACCGCACTAGAGCTCCTTCTACATGCTTTCTGTGCCCAGTCTATGGCTTGTTGGGACATTAAGTTGTTTTCTTTCTGAATTATCATTTTGGATCATATCCACGCATCCCAGATGATCTGCTTTGTTTCCTCGGTCTTGATGAAGCCGTTTGCTCAGGTCATTAATAAGCAATGCTGAGGGTGGAGTCAGTTTAATACAGAAGGGATTCACTGAGACAACTTTTATATATTTAGGGGGATTAGAGTAAAGGAGGAAGAATAAAAATATGTTCAATACTTTTACATAAAATCCTAACGAAAGGCATTAAACTTTGTCTTTGTAACATAAAAACAGAGATTCACGCATCCCTCACCTGTCAGATCCCAGTAGTCTGAAGATGCGTGTGTTGTCGCAGATTTCTTGTGTGATCTTAAAAAAAAAAAAAAAAAATCAACAGGTTAAAACAAGATTAAAAAATGACTCTTTATGACACTGTTCTCTTGAATTTTCAAACCAATACGACCTGCTAATTCTTTAATGATTCAGTTTTTAAACACGCCTCCGACAGCAGGTTAAAACCCAGTGGCTGGGTAAACACCCCAAGATAAGATGCCTTGCTGTTACCGCTAATGTTTCTTTCCTTTTAAGTGATAAGGATGCAACTAATCCTAGATATTCTTATTTTCTCTGTATAATAATTTGACACCATATATCCAGAGAAATCAGCTGAGAATACCATAACAATACCAGATCTACGAAACACAGACTTCCCATCACTAACATGTAGATAAAGGTGTTTAAAACAAAAACAGAAGAAGCACTAAGCCTCCCGTAGCTAGCAGTAGAGCCGAGATTATCACAATATAAAGATCAGATGGAGAGTGAATTGCTTTTACTTAAAGGAGAAGTTCGGTTTTTTACACTTTAAGCCCATTTTCTGTAGTGTCCAGGATGAAATCGAATGAAGGACACCAAAATTTTGACAATTGGTCCTGTCTCTGCTTTTTGGCTCATTTAGAATCAACCCCTGGCTGCTTTAGAATGGCTTGCATAGAGCATGTCCGATAATGTCCTTAAAACAACCTTAAACGTTCTTTTTTTAAAATATGCTACTCACCGTGTCGTCAGCGCTGTTCAATGACGTTCCAAAAAAAGTTTCGTGAAGAAAAAACGTTCCTGTAGTGTTTTATTTAGCATTTTGTAAATCCCATTGAGTTCTGTAGGAATAGTCAATATTCCGCTGCCACCGGAAACGGAAATGGGGCCTGTTTACACAGTTGTAGTCTTTTCGCTTCACTCTGCGTACTCCGACGTCGAGGTGCTAACGTCTCTGTTAAACACTTTAAAAAACTCTGAAAATGGAATACGAAAGGTGGATTCTTGATTCTCGACGTCGGAGTACACAGAGTGAAGCGAAAAGACTACAACTGTGTAAACAGGCCCCATTTCCGTTTCCGGTGGCAGCGGAATATTGACTATTCCTACAGAACTCAATGGGATTTACAAAATGCTAAATAAAACACTACAGGAACGTTTTTTCTTCACGAAACTTTTTTTGGAACGCCATTGAACAGCGCTGACGACACGGTGAGTAGCATATTTTAAAAAAAGAACGTTTAAGGTTGTTTTAAGGACATTATCGGACATGCTCTATGGAAGCCATTCTAAAGCAGCCAGGGGTGGATTCTAAATGAGCCAAAAAGCAGAGACAGGACCAATTGTCAAAATTTTGGTGTCGATCATTCGATTTCATCCTGGACACTACAGAAAATGGGCTTAAAGTGTAAAAAACCGAACTTCTCCTTTAAAAAGGATCAAACTAACCTCGTTGGTCTTAAAGCTCCGACCCTGCATGCCATGTCTCCAGAAGGCCAGTACACTGTCCTGAAGACAAACTATGGAAAGAAATAAAACATTTATTTATCCTATTATCAACAATGAACCCAAACATGTTTCAATCATATCCTATCTGGACATGAAGACAATTTTAACAACAATGAAAAATAAAAGCAAAACTATCAGGTAAAAAAATGAAGAAAACACCTCAAAAATGTGCTTTTAAATGTAATTTCTTCTGAGGAAGGATTTAGGATATCCTGGATATTTATTTCAACATAAAAAAAATGGTTAAACTTTAGACACTTAACAATACTAAGTGCTGAAATGAATTAACATCACTGTTATATCTAATGACCTGCCTGGTGCCTTCAGAGGGAAGCCTGTAGAGGCTCCTGAGTCTGGTCATTTAAGAAGTCTTATTGAAGGAGTAAATAGAAAATAGGGGTGTAAATAATAATCGTTTTGTATCGATGAGTCGATCCAACAGCCGACGATAAGATTCATCGACACGTCTGCAAGAGTATCGATTAATGTTTTTTTCCTCCGGGCTTTTTTTTAATCTATCTGCTCCTGGACGTAATTCTGACTCCCTTGCTGCGGTTGCGCTCAACCTATTTTGCCCTCCTACCTCACTTCCTTTAGCCACTACCCTCTTTCTGCTTGCAGTATTTTTTGATGCAAGGCCTTTCAGAATCTATAACACAGGGGCTTTATTATTTTTCAGTGAATGAGGTTTTCATAGGCCTAGGTGGAGTACAACTTTGCTATTTCTGTTATTTGCTGTTGTTTCTCAAATAAAATGCATAATGATATTACAGCTTTCATTTATTTATTTTAAATTTGAAACACTGACTAGCCTGTAAGTAAAAAAACAAAAAAAACAAATTAACCAATTAATCGAATCAAATCGTGGTGTATTCTTGAGTATTGAAAATAATCAAATAGTTGGGTCAGGAAATTGATATTGAATCGAATCGCCATGATGGATGTCATTTACACCCCTAATAGAAAACAAACTTGTTGATGTTATCATGGGACAGCAGACTCTCAATATTTTTGATCAACACCAACTGCATTGGTTTAACGGTCGAGGCAGGAGCACAAGGAGATGCCTTTGGTCTGTATGGAAAAACATGAAGGCCTGACTGAGGTGTGCTAGAACGTACATAAAGACCAGAAACTCTGGAAAAATGTTGCTTAGACCAGATTTGGACTGAGTTAGGGATGCAAAAAAAAAAAAAAAAAAAAAAATCGCCTGAAAATTGTCAATTAATTGTATATTAGATTAAAATGACACCATAACATTAATTGATAATTGCCTTTTAAGAAATTAAGTACAGTATTGTAATGTTACCACCGTCCACTAGAGGGCGCTGCTGTTAATTCTTAAGACTTCTTTTGCAAATACCTCATTGGTATTTGATTAGGAATGCACTTTATGCAGTTCCGTTTGTAAATATAATAATAACTGGATTAAGTAATCACCTAAATAGCGCCCATTTAGCTGCGCTGCATTGCAGAGCAGCTTACCTTCCCTGCTGTGCTCGGAGGGTGACGATGCGACTATCAAAATGTGGAGGCCATAAAGTAAACGTCTCTAACATGATAGAAGAAGACATGCTTAGCAATAAACAAAGTATACTGGAAAGGCTTTTGTGTGTTAAGGCATTTTAATGCGTCTAATTTTTATTAATGACTAACATTTTTTGTTTATTCAGTCAGTACAGCTCTTTGGCTCTATAGCTAGCAGATAGCTAGCAGGTTTCCTCTTTAGCTAGAAAAACCTAATATCCTTTGTTATTTTATTTCAATTAAGAGTAAAAAAAAAGGTTCCTTTCTGTTCTTTATGTGCAATAAAAAATAGATTAGAAAAAATCTGCACATTTATTAGGGAATCCTGTTCTTTCACATCTCTGTGACGTCAATTTGTGTCAGAAATAATGAAGATAATGACTATATCAGTCCGTCTAGCTTCTGTTACCTATCGCTTCGATCTGGAAGTTAAAGGTGAGTTCAGCAGATAGCTTCCGGCTGGATTTTAGCCGGCCCTGCAGGTTCACTATTTTTATACATCCTGAGAGAAAAACAGAAGAATAGATTATGGATTATAAACATGTTTACATTTGGTCTAATTGAAAAGATTGAGATTTAGTGCCACTCACTGTCTAGGCAGACTAGAATAGTGTCTCGCTCCAGCTGTGTGACGTGGATCACACACGTCTGCGGCATGTCTGTGAAGAGGATCAGTGTTTATTCACTTTTAGTCACCGGATGTTTAAAGGTGGAAGAATCAGCCACACTGTTCTAACCTGCTTCTGTAAACCAGGAGGAGGTAGCATTGGGGTCGACGGTGCCGAATCGAACCACCTGGTTGAGTTCGGTTCCTTTGCTGACCGCCACGCAGATCAGAGGGTAGGTTTGCTCTGGCACCACCAACATCTCAAAGACTTCCAACGGACAGGGCAGCGGGAAGTCAATGTTCTGCAGAGGAACAGGATTCACTGTTGGTCAGAGATTTCTACACTCATCTAGTTGATGTGGCTTGGCTTCCTCGTAGTGTTTTAGTACAGGATCACATTGAGGACTGAAGGAAAAGTCTTAACTTTTACGGATGTTTGGTATCAGGTGATACATGAATACATTTTTTTCATCTTCATATTACAGACATTTGGAAATTCTGGTTATTTGCCAACCTATTAACCCTTTAAACTACTTAAAATAGTAGCCTTGTGCAATGTAATTAGTGTGATTATTATAGATTGGTAATGCGGAAATATGACAGAGCTTTTTTGTTTTCTGGACTAAACCAGTTTGTTCTCAACACCTAAGGCTGGTGAGCTCATCATATGAGGGCAGGAGTATCCTGCACTAACTGTAGGTTTATTAAAGCACTTTTATTTTGTTCCATACACAACTATTCTTAGTGATTTTTTAAGTAAAATCATATTTCAACCTATATCAAAATGGTCTAATAAAAAACAATATTAAAATCATATGTATGCATTCAGGATTCAATCCAAAGAGCAACAACGATTAGAATCAACATGCATTTAGGGATAAGAAAGATAATGACATTAATCATTAATAAAATCTGATTGATTTAAGTTCTTTAAAAACACTCTCTAAAGTACTACTTAAATTATAAATTGATTAATCAAAAAATAATAATTGGGAAATCGATTGCCAATAAAATCGTATCATTCTAAGACATAGCACTAGTTGAAATGTGAAATCAAAGACAAGGCAGGTACTTTACACTTAAAACCAGCACATCTATCACTTATGATAAGATATTTTTCCTTTAGAAAATTTGAGGTTAAAAAAGACTGAAAAATAGAACTTTCCTCAATTTATTCAGACCTGGAAAAAAATGGATTCTTAGTTTTCAAGGAACCACTTTAAGAAGTCATTTTAGGCCTGTATACATTAGATGCACTGCAAGAAAACTGGAATATATTTAGTAATTCTTTCTTAAAATAAGTGCATTTTTTTCTTGAATTGAAGAGGTAAGTTATACGCTTTACTAATGGATTAAGATGATTTACATTTAAACTAAGAAAAAACAATTGCATTGTCTAATTTCAAGTGCATATTATCTAATTATATTATATATTAAGAGTAAAAATACTAATTCCATTGGCAAATCCTGTTGTTTTCCTACTAAAATTATGGGTAAATAAGCTTAATTTAAGAAATTTTACATTGGCAGTGTGTGTTTTGTGATTTTTCTTTACTGGGCATTTTATCCTTAGGTCCTCAAATATACTTAGCCTACCAAGAACAAGAACAAAATATGGAGAAACTCCCAAAAAAGTTGCTTTAAATCAAGATTAAGAACAACTTTGTTTAGAGTGGCCTTTGATTGTGCCTTAAAACATTATTAGATAGGTTTTTTTAGTTCAGATTTCCTTTTCATTAAATCAATAATTTTATAAAAATCATTATTTTAACTATTGTGTTACCTCTATATCACGGCGATGCACTTTTTTCTATCACTCTGAATTTCTATATAGCACATTTAACAGTTCTACCATTGAAATAATCTATACAAATAAATTTGCCTTTCCCATTTTAATTTTTGATTCCTGTTTTTATTTAAATGTTTTATGGATTTTTTTTTTTTTTTTTAGGGATATATAAACATGAATGCTTTCATCTGCCTTTTCACTTTCCCACTGATACCTGAACATCCAGAGGGACAATAAAGAATATTTATTTTTGTTATTAGACACACAAGGATAAAGACTATTTATATAAGTAAAATATTGTCATTTTTTTAAATGTGGAAGAGAATTAAACCAACCTTGATGAGCATGAACCTCTGCATGGACTCCACCCACTCCAGCAGCATGACACTGGACTGGAAGGCCCCACACAGGTATTTATGGCCGGTGTACGGGTTACGGACTGTCAGGGAAATAAAAAAAAACAAAACAAAAAACACACCATCAGTCATGTTTTATCGCCTGTATTCAGAAGTTAAAGCCTGAAACTATTCAGACTTTAAACCAAAAGCAAAAAAACAATCCTCTCAAAGCTACTCACACCTAAGAGCAATACAACTAACCCCAAAATGATTGAAAGAAAAAAACTGGTAGCTTTAGACTCACCTACGCAGCACTTTTGGCATCCTTTAGTGTCTGGGATTTTATTGGAGACAGCAAACTTCCTATAACATGACACAAACAGACGTGAAAAAACTAACTTTACTTTGAATTGGCTGCTTTTTTTGTGGTAAAATTATTTCACTTAACACAACAAAAGTAGATTATAAAAGAAAAGTAAAATGAAAAAATGGCTTGAAATAAAGCGGAGACGGTAAATAATTGACCGTTTCCTGACTCGGGTTACCTTGGGATGATCTTATCAGGCAGTTTGTGTGTGGGAATGGATACCGGTAACTTCTGTAGCTGTCTAGCCTGCTCAAAGAGCCCAGACAGACTGTGGGAGTACAGCTGGGAGGCTTTTCCTGCAATTGGACACCATTCATCAAGGGTTAATAAGAGGAGAAAAATAAATAATATTTTATATAGAAAAAAAATAAACAGCAAAAATAAAAGGCAACATTAGCAACTTCTTTGAGAGCAGTTTAACTCACCAGATATAGAAAGGAGACAGCTGTTCATGACATACAACCACGTACACCTCCGAGGGAAGAGCTACAACCAAAACCAATAATATTAAATTTATATCCAGTAAAAACAGGATAATAACTGGTCTGTAACCATATTCTGGTTCCAGGGGTTTTTATCAGTCACCCAAGCCTTGTCTACAAGAACTCATCTCGTATATAATAATACAAAAACATTATTTTGCAAAAAAAACACTTTTCCAGCTGCTTCACAATTATATATTACTTTATACCAGTCCATTACTTTTATTCTTAAATGAATAGAAGTACATGAATTTATTGGGTGTGAATGTTAAGAGAGTTCCAAAGTCATCGACTTGTTATCTGGGGTCTGACCTGCTCCATCGTCGTCTCATGAAGCTCATTAAGGTTTAAAGTGTAGATTCCCTCCTCAGCTCCGAATATTAAATACTGATCTGAAACACAATAACAATATATATATAAATATATATATACATTTAACGCAGTTAAATGGATGTGGAGATTCAGACCCCCTCGTCAGCACTTCCTGTTTTTCTGTTGGTTACCTCTAGTGTCAGGGTTGATCCACGACGTGGCACAGTGGATCTTCAGCGGACAGCCGTTAAACACCTTGGAGAAACAGGCTCCCATCTGCGGACAGGAGAGTAGATCAATAGCAGGTTTGCTCTATCCTGATGCTAGGGTTATTTCAGGGCTTCGACTCATTTTCAACTATAAATATCAGAGTTCTTTATGGGTTGATAACAGAGGGATTATAAAGAAGATGCAGACAGATGGATGGACAACTGAACGATAAATGGACAGACTGATGAAACAATTAGACAAAGAAAGAGGGAACAAAGACTAGAATTTATCAATTTATCTACTTGCTTAAAAGACCATTCACTGTTAGCTTTCTGACCCCAAATGTGACACGTTGGCGCTGATACTTACATGAACTTTAGGTGTTGGAGGAAGACCGTTACTGATAGGCTTCTGGGACAAATAAAAAGCCACACATTAAAATGGAAAACCCAGAACTAGGATGTATAGGTGGGGTCAATCACCAGCTTACATACCGGAACATCCTTCTTGTCTTTCCTTACAGGGACACTAGGAGGCATGGTGGACTGCCTCTCTCCTGCACTTTCCCTCTCTCCATTGTGAGGAGAGTTAAGTCCATTACCTAAAACAACACCATCAACAATAAAGACTAAGAGGGTTTTAGATGCATTATTGGTTATAGTGTGAATCATTTAACCCCACAAAGACAAAGGAATTATAGGCACAAAAAAAAAAGGTCTCTGGAGCAGAGAGGGGGAGAGGAGGGTGGGAGCAGGCCAGCAGGAAGAATACAGAGGATCAAATATATGCATGAGCAATGGAGGGCGTAAATGCGCCGACTGCACAGACAAGACGATGCATTACAGCTGCATGAAAAGACAAAAGACTTCTGATCTCCTCAGTGGGTGTGGTTCAAGTACTGTCAGGGCTGTGTGGACGGGTGGAAATAAATCAGTGAGGGCAAGTGTGCAAAAAAAAAAAAAAAAAATGGAGTGCTATCCGCAGCAAATGTTTTAGAGTTATTTTGGTGGCAACAATGTCTCCGCTCAGACATAAGGCGGGCCTCTGAAAAGCACAGCGATTATTCCCTCCTCTGTTGTTTTGAAAAGTCATTTTTGGAAATTTCCGAAGCCTCGTTTCCGATCTTTTATCAGAGGCTATGGCGAGAAGGAATCTACCAGCTGTGGCCAAACCCGTCGTTTTCAACCAGTCCAGTCACCCCTAAATCCTGTCCACAGTGACACAGGAAGCCACACACTCATACTTCAGCATGTTTTCCCTTTTTAAGGCAGGAAAACAAAAAGTGTGTACCACCAGTCTGAGATAAACCCAGTACCTTCAAACAGATTCATATCCCTTAAACTTTATCTCACAATGCAGACACGTTTACAGGACGTTTTATTGGGAATTTCTGGGAAACCGTATCAAAGCGATGAAGAAAAGCTTGAAAATTTCTACTTTTTTTTAAGTTAATCGAATATTTAAAGGGGTGAACCTGTTCTCATTTGTCAAGGGACACATCTCTACCAGCTTTTCACATCTATAGACTTAATTTGTTGGCAGTTCCCTTAAAAACAAATAAAAAAATGTGCTTGTGCTCAGTCAGACTGGTTTCTGAGAATCTGAAGATCGATTTAACCAAGAATTCCTATCATTCCTATCAAGGCTCTGACCTCATTCTGTTTCACTCCATCCTAGCTCTGTGCGTCTGTTTAAGGCTGTCGTCCTCCTGGAAGGAGAAACGGGTTTTCTTCCGGTATTGTCCAGCATCTCCCCATCAGTTTTTAACAGCCTTCCCCGACTCTGTTTTGTAAAACCAATCCCACAGCAAGATCCTGCCACCACCTTGGTTTACCATGGTGTGAATGACGAAAGAATGTTGCAATTGGAGGTAAAATGTAAGGAGTGAACCCAACGTATTGGCCCAAAGATAAGAGGAGGTTGTTTTCGTTATAAACGATGTAAAAAGATGGGGGCCTAACCAATTATACAGGCTGACAATTGTCTCGGGTTGCTAAACTAATGCAACAGCAGGGGGCGGCTGTGGCTGGGGTCATCTTTCCATCACAAAAGAGAAGAAGCGACAAGGATGCGACAAATAGAGAGTCGATGCCCAGAACGGAGTGGATCAAAAGTCAGACAAGTCTGCAGATGTTTGAGGCAGAGTTATGCTGCCGATTTTAAAATAATGGTGGTCAATGCAGCAGAGGCATCAAACTGCTGTCTGGAAGCAAAGAATGCAATGTCAGAAGATGACGCGTTCAAAAAGACCGGAAAAATGCAATTGGCAAAAGAAAAGCTTATCGATAAATAGCAGAGCAGCAGGGCGAGGAGTGACAGCGGGCGCAGTGAGGCTGAGGATGTCCATGAGTAAAAGCCTCACGCATGAGTTAAAGTGTTGCAAGATTTCAATGAAATGTTTCATTACTGTTTTTTTTTTTTTTTTACTTCTTATTGTTTAATTGGTACCTGCACAAATCTTTCAATGAAATATTATTTCAATTAGAATCTTAGCACAAACAGAACAAAATAAATTTGGTTTATCCTAAAAACTGTTCCTGGAAAGATGGAGTCGTGTTATAATCAGGGTGCTCCTTTATTAGGGTCATTAGGCCCGAGCAGCTAAGCGCTGCGAGAGCCTATTGTATCTGTAATGTTTATTATTATTATTATTATTTTTCTCCTTACAAATAAAATGGCTTTTTGGAGGCTTTATCATATTCCAAAACTCACCAAACTTTGCGGACGCATCAGACCTGGTGAAAATTTACGTATTTTAATGGCCCCGTGAAAGTTGCCAACCAAATGCCTCAACGGCGCCCCCTCAAAATTTTCAAAATACCCTCCCCATTGACCTTTTTTTCTCATAGAGACATGAACATTGGCACACTTGTAGAGCGTCCTCACACTTACAAATAAGTCAATTAACGTCATACTAAATTATGCTCAGGGAGTCCGCCATCTTGGATCAAATTTCAAATTTTGACTGTGATTTTGCATTTTTAGCCTCTATATTTGATCGAACTCCTCCTAGGGACGGTGAGCCATCGGCTTCAAACTTGGCATGTATGCAGATAAGGCATGTGAGATCTAAACTTATCAAACTTTTTGAGTTTTCCAGCATTTTAAAGGGGTGTGGCCAGGCCTCGAAGTTGGCGTACTCGCCAACACTTTTCGAAGCGCAATAACTTTTACATATAAACGTGAAATGTCACGAAACTTGGTAGTATTAATCCTCTCTGGGTTCCCAACAAAACTGTATATTAAAACTTTGACATGATTGAAGCCACGCCCCCTGAGAACCGGAAGTCACGTTTTTTAATTGGAATGGTCCCTCTCTGTCCTACTTGACCTCAACAACCTAAAACTGTGTCAGCTGACAGACAACACGTTGTCCTAACTTCGTTTAAGGCACAGAGAGTCTGAGTTAAATGGTGTTGCCGTGGCGCCATGGCGAAGTGAGGTGTTTCGCCATGAAAATACGATTGGCTCTCATTTCCTCATTTATAAGCAGATCTGCACCAAAATCACAAGAGATGATCCTAGTCCAACTCCAAACAGGAATCCAGAGCAATATTTTGTGGGCGGGGCTTAATTTCACCACAGCGCCCCCTAGAAATAACAAATTTCGAACCACCAGCCCCAAGCCGTTTTTAGTCCTAGAATATTGAAACTTTGAACACATTTGCACCTCATCAGGCCCTAACTAAAAGCCTCTTGGACCCATGGTCTAAACCCCACCGGAAGTCGGCCATTTTGAATTACATTTTACTCTGTTGTGAAAGCACTGATCTGTTTTCAAAAAATTGTATAAAATCAGTATTTTATCCAAATGAGCTAAAACTTTCAAAATATGTTCTTTATAAAGCCTGCTGTAAGTTGGTTACAATAGCAAAGCGCTTCTTTAAAGTCCGTCACTCTGATTTTTCAAAAGTTTGCGTTCTCGCCTAATAGTTGGTCAAGTGGACAGATAATGCCAGGAAATAATTCAGCCCCTAGCCATGCTCATTCTGAGGATAATGAAACTTGGCACACATCTGTATGAGCTCTCCACCTACAAAAAGTTTCATTGAAGCCATGGTCTAAACCTCTCATGAAGTCGGCCATTTTGAATCAAACGGTACCCTTATGAAAATAGAATCACTATGTTAAAATATTTCTAAAAAATCAGTTGTTTTCCCAAATGAGCTAGGACTTTTGGAATATATTCCTCTAATCGCTACTTGTTTGATGGTAAACACAGCATAGCTCTTCTTAAAAGTCCGTCACTCTGATTTTTCAAAAGTTTGTGTTAACAGGAAATTGTTGTATCTCAAAAAGTTTTATAGCAATCCTACCCAAATTTGGAACAGTTATTTATCCTTTGATTATAGAAAAGACTGCCGAGTTTGGCGTGAATCCAGGCATGTTTGAGCATCTTATGGGGTTTTCAACTGCCACAGTATATGGCATTCAAGTTTAAAGATTTTTCTTTCTTTAAATTATTTAATAAATCATCTAAAAAAAATCTAGGACATGCAAGATGTGTTCCTTGACATTTGTGATTTTTTTCGGGATTTTATTGCAAACTATAGATTTTTAATGAATTTTTTTGTTTTGAGTAGAGTCGGCCATTTTGAATTACATTTCACCCTGTTGTGAAATCACGGACCTCTTTTCAAAAAAGTGTATAAAGTTAGCCTTTTATCCAAATGAGCTAAAACTTTCAAAATACGTTCTTTACAAAGCCTGCTGTAAGCTGGTTACAATAGCAAAGCGCTTCTTTAAAGTCTGTCACTCTGATTTTTCAAACGTTTGCGTTCTTGCCTAATAGTTGGTCAAGTGGACAGATAATGCCAGGATATATTTTTCAACTGCCGCAGTATAAGGCATTCACGTTTAAAGATTTTTCTTTCTTTGAATTATTTAATAAATCACCTAAAAAAGAATCTAGGACATGCAAGATGTGTTCCTTGACATTTGTGATTTTTTTTGGGGATTTTATTGCAAACTATGGATTTTTTTATGATTTTTTTTGTTTTGAGTAGGGTGTAATACCGCTAACCGTGGGTTTTGGCAGTGCTGTTTCTCCATCTTTTGAATATATACTTTTGACCCACCAACTGAGATTGCTACAGCAAATATCTGACAGATGAGATTCATCCCCAGATATTATCTTTTATCCCTAGTTTAACCCTTCCTGACCAAAGCTGTGGTTGTCTCCGGCTGGTCCAGAAGTGAAGCGTGGCGCTTTTTCCGCTGGCTGGGAAGGAGCAAGGGGGCAGCGGTCACTCACCTCCCGCGGTCGCGATAGGCCGAGCGGAGAAAGAGGAGGATGAAGAGGAGCAGCACAGGGTGATGAAGAGGATGAGGGGAAGCAGCAGCAGGCATAGGCTGAAGAGCAGGAGAATAGGCTGGGAAGGAGCGTGGAGCCGGCGGTCGCTTGGTTCCCGCGGTCGCAACATACCAGGCGGTGCGAGCTGCGAGGGCCGTCAATACCGCTCGCGGTTTTAATTACGATTTATTTTTTCTAGTAATACTACAAAAAATTAAAATAAAATTCTTCCACCTCCAGTGCGAGTTTCTGCAGCTAATCCGATGTTAGCGAGGCTCTTTGGAGTGCTTCTCCACTGAGGTCAACCAGAATCCGTCTGATGTTTTTCTGTTTTTAATTATGCCGTTTCATCACTTTTTATGCCATGAAGCACGAGATGGTGTTCAGAAGGTATTTGGATTTATGCTAAGATCACTTACAAACACAAAGACTCAGTTTAGGCTACAATTTGATACACTAGATTTTATGTGAAGGCATCAGAGTAAGGGGGGACACTGAGATTTCCTTCTACCAGCTAATCTCAATTAGACAACTTTTATGTCGGTTATGACACAAAATCCATATAAAATAAATGAAAATTGAGTTTTAAAATATTTGAACTAATGACAGACTGAGTTTACAGTATGCCCTATCAAGCAAATCTCACACACGACGCACCAAACTCTTCTGGTCGATCCAAAGAATCAGATACTTGACTATAAAAAGCCCCTTAAAACTATTAATATCTTTCTGTTTCTAAAGTTCCACAGGAAAATAAAGATTTCCGAATTCAAAATCTCTCTTCTTCCTTCTTGAAAGTTAGGGAGGGAGGAAGGGTGTTAGAGCCATAAACATTTCTTGTCCAAATTGTTCTTGTTTATGGCTCTAACAGGGTAACAGCTGATTGACTGATTGGATTAAGAAAAAATAAAAGAGGAAAATAATTAGACCTTAGAAAGGACAGACAGTAATACTGAGCAGGAGCTGATGAACAGAAGGAACTTTAAATCAATAAAAAAAGAAAAACCATTTGAAAAGCGTTTTGGTGTTAATGTGCTCATGGAACAGATAAATCAGTTAGTCTACAGGAAAAAGAACCGGCTAATGGGGGGGGGACCACATAACCGATGGGAACAACAGGGTCTGTGGACACTACCCAGCTACCAATCAGCTGCTCTTACTCTCTTCCTTTTCCTGCTCCTCTTTCACCTCCTTCAGCACCTCCCAAGCCTCCTCCAGCTCCTCCTCTGTGTGAGGCGTGTGGAGCCATTCCCAGAAATGCCTAAAGCTCCCATCATCATCCTCCTCTGGGGCAGAGTTTCCCACGTCTTTTCGCTTCGGGCTGTCGTTACCTAGGCTGCTGCGGCGGTGGGGCGGCAGCTTCGGGGGCGGAGGCCGTGGGGGGACGCTGGAGGACGGCTTGGCGGGGCTCGGAGCCTCTGAGCTCGGGCAGCGCTTGATGGTTCCCCCTCCTCCTGCGTCGTCCTCGTGGTGTAATTGGCTCTCGTCATTTTTCTGCTGAGGGGGCTGCTGAGAGGAGCTGATAGACTTTGGCTGGAGTTGATAAAAAGCAAAATATTAATTTTTTTTTTTACTTGAAAAAATATTTAGTTACCAGTGACTGAAAAAGATCAGTACTTCTACCTTTGGGGGGAGGGGAGGGGGCTCCTTTGGCCTCTTAATAGTGCTGGATTTGCTGTAGATTTAAAAAGATGGCTAATTAGTAAAATAAACAGAAATATGATGACATCCAGATGTGTGAGAGTTAGTAAAGAGAATCTATAGAATGACTCTAAACTCCTCCATACTTTGTTTTTGTATGTTACAGTTCAACTTTTATATCTACAGAACAAAAGATAGCAAAAATATTACATTTTTACCTTAATTTGTCGCCTAATTTTCTATTAATTAAAAATACCGGTATCATTTTCTGATCCGTCCTTCTCAGCTTGACCTTAGAAAATATGTTATTATTTTTTTAAAAATTGGAATGAAAAATCTCTTAATCTGGGCTGTTATTGCAGCCTTCATATTATGCAGATTTCCACAGAAACACCTTCTGGTGAGAGTCATTCCTTTCCACTTTCATCACATGCAGGATCAGTGGCGGTCAGTGACTGTCACATAAATAAACTAAACCTCAGAGTTTTACCGGGCATTGAATAGAATTGTCTGTATATGGACTAAATTGTCCAGGTTTTAACTTTTTTTGATGACAATGTAAATGTTGGCTTACAACATTAATATGGAAGATGCATGCAAGTGGGAAATCTATGCTGTTTCACTCTAGCAGGAGGAGAAAACAGATGTTGGAGTGAACACACAGACTTATAGAGCAGGGCAGCACACAGAGAGTGATGCATGCGGAGAACAGAACAATGGCAGGAAGAATACATCACAAGGAACATAGAAAAGAAATGAAACTTAACTATTATCCCATGTTGCTTTGAGTGAAACTTTAATGCTACTACAGGAATTAAGCTTCCCTTTGGAAAAAAATGCTACTCAACCATTTTCAGCCTGCCAGATTAAAACTAAAAACTTCAGTTAAGTAGAACAGGTATGTATGATTTTCACCATTCTGCTTTACAGATAAGAGTCTACAAAAAAAGTGATTTTGTTTGCAGCTCATTTGACTGAATCCTCTATAGAACCACCTTTCAATGCGGTTAAACTCTTTTGAGGCAAGTCTCATCCAGCTTTGGACATTTAGGGCCTGGTCTTCAAAGGTTCCAGATAAATAGCACTACATTGCATTTGAAAAGATAACATTTTTTTTTTAGAAATGCAGTTAGCAGCCATATTACCATTAAGCTAGAAAGCTAACGGGTGAAAATATATCACCTTTATCAATTGTAAGTGCCTTATTTAAATACAGAAACGGTGTATGCTATGGGCAGTATGGGGGAGAGAGGGAGGCTGTAAATCAAAGATGGGAGTTTAAAGCCATGCAGTTGGTGGTAATGAAAGTTCTCTTTCATAGCATTCGTTTCGTGTCTCACATTGGGAACGCCTCCAGCGTGACCTCATCAGAAGCTCCTTTTACATTACGCCAGCCAGGATTGGCTGGAAAATAAGCCTGTCAGTGTCAGAGAGGGCAAGGTCCCTCCCCCTATAAATAGGGCTGACACTGTGCTGCTTGTTATTCAAAAACCTCTTCTCGCAACGAGCAGAAGTTCCCAATTAGCTTCCTCTTGGATACCGTCTCTCTTGGAGCCTAGCTTAACAGTCCAAAGACTCGCGCGCAAGCTCGGTCGCTGGGCGCTTTGCTCCGAACTGGTTCGGTATCAAGCAGAGACGTTTTCCTGGTAGAAATACCATAAAACGAGTAGTAATACTCGAGTCAACGCACCGCCTCACGGCTGTACGTTGGTCGACACTGAGTAGCAATACTCCGTAGCTACACCCCGGGTGGCCGAAACGCCGTCCCCAACCTAGCCACACCTGGTTAGCTTAGCTTTCACAAGCTAATTCCCGTGTAGCCCCAAAGCCAATCTCCAAAATAAAAATAAAATAATGGAGACTGCTAAATCCTCTGCGAAAGCGGAGGGGAGCCCCAAGGGACGAACCTGTCCGTGTGGCAATAAAATTTCAAGCTGGGACACCCACCCATCCTGTGTGGTATGTCTCGGTCTGAAACACACCCAGGCAGCCCTCCAATCTACGGAGGAGTGCTCACACTGTAGCCGGTTCTCCCTGAAGGTGCTTCGCCGCCGTCTGGCTCGTCAATCGACTATGTCCGGTAATGACCCGGTGATGGCCTCCACGGCACCGACACAAGAACCAGCCGACCAGGCTGTCTCTTTACCCACCGATACAGAGGCCGGACCGAGCTGGGGAGAAATCCTCGATTCCGTGGACCCATTGCCACGGGAAATGCCCGAGCTAGGTATCGCTTCGAGCCAGCTCGATTTGCTGTTTGAGGGGGACGAGGAGCTCTCTGACTTGGAGTCGGAGCTACCCTTCTCAGACAACGATGAGGACTATGACCCGGCCCCGGCGCCCTCGGTACGGATTGCAAAACCCGCACCCCCGGGCTCGGAGCAATCCGGTCAGGAAGGTTCCCCGTCGGAGCTGGATTTTGACTTGCACGACGTGTGTAAACGCGCTGCTGCAAAGCTCGAGATTCAGTGGCCAGAGGTCCAGGCAGAAGCTGCCCGCTCCCGCTTTGACGGAAAAAGGCTGCCTAAGACCCGCAAGACGTCCAGACAGCTCCTACCAATTTTCCCGGAGCTGCTGGAAGAATTGGCCGTCTCCTGGCGCAACAAGCCGTTTAGGGAGAAGCACCCAGTAGCCGGCAGTTCGGTACTGGATTGTGATGGGATGGAAAATTACGGCCTTCGCCAAATGCCACCTGTCGAGCCGGCCGTCGCAACACACCTGCACCCGAAGACTTCCATGTCAGCGGGAGGTCCCGCCCTTCCATCGAGAGCGGACCGCTTTCAGTCAAGCCTGACTGATAAGTGCTACAGAGCAGCCGCGCTCTCAGTCCGCGCTCTAAATGCCTCCTCTATGCTGATGGCCTATCAAGCAGAGCTGGAAGAGCAAATGACTGCCGCACTAGATGCTGCGCTCTGGGAGGAGGTGTGCGTCATTACCGACCATTGCCTGCACCTCCATAAGGTGGCGATCCAAGCGATGGGCAGATCTATGGGACTAATGGTTTTGCAGGAGAGAGCCAGGTGGCTGAATCTCACTACCCTGGCAACTAAGGAGAAGGAGGACCTCCTGGACACACCCATATCAGCTCAAGGGCTGTTTGGGGAAGCAGTAACCTCCATGCAAAAGAGATGGGAGGAGAAGAAGAGGGATGATGAAGCCCTAAAGCTGTGCCTTCCCAGACGTACGTTTGCCGCTGCGTCTGCGACCCCCGCACCCCAGCGCCAAACCTTCGCCCAGGCAGCAGCCCGCTTCCCTCCTGCCTTCAGGATCCCAAAACTGCCGAAGACCCAAGCAGCACCGCAAGGTGCGCAGAAAACATCTGCCCCCAAAGCTAACTGGCAGAAAAAGCCTGAAGGCCCTCGCACGGACCAACCACCCCCCACCTCCACACCGGCGGTGAGGAGAAGGAAGCGGTTGGCCTAACACCGTTCCAGAGAGGAGGAAGCGAGCTGGGATCGCCCTCCTCCGTGGCTCCGTTCCTGAGCCTGTTCAGAGAGTTCAGCCAAACACAGCGTGTGACCGACAGGATGTTCCGGCCTGCTCACCACGCCAAAAAGTCGAAAGACTCTGTTCAATGCGGGGATATCCAGAGCGAACCCCGAACATGTTTCACAAGCACTTCTTTGTGTTCAACTGTAATAAATGCTTCCAGACTGACGCATCCAGGTCGAGAACCAAGGGCGCAGTCAAAAATGTTGAAAAACATAAACATTTCACTCGGGGAGCCGGTACCTTCTTTTTCAAAAGAAGTGAGACCTCTCCCCAACATGAGCAGCTCTGTAGCGCACCAGACGCTACGCGCATGCGCAATGCAGCACGGAGCTGTTTGCGTCCCTCCACCCATAGAGGGCGCTCGCAGCTCGCTGTCAGACTGGCCAGTCAGCCAGCTGACAGTGAACATCCACCTTTGGGAAAAATGCACAGACTCAGAGTGGGTGTTAAGAACGCTCAGGAGGGGATACAGACTGCAGTTCACTGCAGTTCCTCCAAGCTTCAGAGGAATAATCCAGTCACACGCGGAGGGACAAGCCGCTCTCTTCCTAAAGGAAGAGATTTCCTCTTTGCTGGAAAAGAAAGCGATATGGCTGATTCAACCAGAGCACAGCAGCGAGGGTTTTTATTCACGTTATTTCCTTGTGCCAAAGAAAGGCGGCAGAGGAATGCGTGCAATTCTAGACCTCAGAGCGCTGAACAGACATCTAAGAAAATACAGATTCAAGATGCTGACAAACGCGTCCCTGCTGCGCTTCCTGCGTCCAGGCGATTGGTTTACATCAATCGACCTCAAGGATGCTTATTTTCACATCCCAATTTACCCCCCACACAGAAAATACCTCAGATTCTCTTTTCACGGGAACTGTTACGAATACCTTGTCCTCCCTTTCGGACTCTCTCTGAGCCCGAGGGTGTTTGTGAAATGCACAGAGGCAGCGGTGGGTCCGCTCAGGAGGCGGGGAATACGTGTGGCAACGTATATAGACGATTGGCTGATCGCCTCGTCCTCCCACCAGGAAGCCTCACTTCACACAGCTATGATAAAAGAGCACCTGATGGATCTGGGTTTCAAAATAAACCTGGAAAAGAGTTCCCTGTTTCCCTCTCAGAGAATAGCTTTCATAGGTCTCTCTCTGGACTCAATCCATGCCAGAGTGAGCCTAACGGAGGACAGAGTGAAAACAATGCTCAATTGTTTGTCCAGGTTTCAAAGAGGGAACCTGGTATCATTCAGCCTCTGCAGGAGGCTGCTGGGGCTGATGGCCGCAGCATTAGTGGTGATCCCTCTGGGACGTCTCCACATGAGAGGAATCCAACGATGGGTAGCCTCTCACAGGTTAAAGTCACATACCCCCCATCATATGCTAAGAGTCACGGCAGCCTGCATGGCTGCACTGCGCCCATGGCGGAGCAAAGAGACACTGGCACAGGGTGTCCCAATGGGAGTGGTGCAGAGCAGAAAGGTTGTCACAACAGATGCCTCTCTGTCAGGCTGGGGGGCTATATGCGAACGGAAAATGGTGAACGGAACCTGGGGTC